CATAAACTCTAAGACAAGGTGTTCCCTTCCTGAGGGTGTTGTCATTTATACTTTGGAAAGTTCCTTCTTATTGGTTAGAAACAGGTCCAAATTATGATTGTCTTCATTACTTCTTTCAATGAAAATAACATTAAATGAAATAAATTCATAAGCTGTTCTGCTTTTAGTAGAAAAATAGCTTCAGATGTATCTAAAGGGTTAAAGTCCTCTTCACTATAATATCATAGGACCATGCCAAATTTTTAGTTATTTCCTAAACACATCCATTTCCTGCTTCTGGTTAGGTGATCTATAGTGTACATGCTCTCCCCCTCTCCTGACAGTATCATTTGTTTTCCCCATTGATCATCAAAATACTTTCCACTAAGCTTTCTCCATTTGGTTCATGAATTTCTATATATGAAGCATGTTTTCAAGAAATATTTATGTTTTGATACCCTTTATTTGTTCACTATTTTTATTTCATTAAACATTTCCCAATTACATGAAAAAAAAATTTAAGAATTCTTTTTAAATTTTGAGTTCCCAATTATCTCTATCCCTCCTGTCATTCCTTCCTCCTTGAGAAGGTAACCAATTTAACTTCAATTATATATGTGAGGTCATACAAAACATATTTCCATATTAACCATGTTGCAAAAGAAAACACAATTAAAACAATAAAGTTTAAAAAATATGCTTCAATTTGCATTCAGAGTTCTCTCCCTAGAGGTAGATAAAATTTTTCATCACGTGTCCTTTAGAATTGTCTTGAATCATTGTCTTGATCAGAGTAGTTTTTCATAATTGATCAACCTTACAATATTGCTGCTCCTACCTATAGTGTTTTCCTGGTGTTGCTCACTTCACTTTGCATCAGTTCATATAAGTCTTCCTAGGTTTTTCTGAAACCACCCTGCTCATCATTTCTTATTGCACAATAGTATTCTATCATAATCATATACCACAACTTGTTCAGCCATTCCCCAATTGTTGAACATCCCCTATATATTGATTTCCAATTCTTTGTTACCACAAAAAGAGCTGCTATACATATGTTTTATATAAATAGATCCTTTTCTCTTTTCTTTGATCTCTTTGGGATACTGACTTAGTAGTGGTATTGCTGGGTCAAAGGGTATGCACAGTTTTATAGCCTTTGGGGTTTAGTTCCAAATTGTTCTCCAGAATGGTTGGACTAGTTCACAACTCCACCAACAATGCTTTAGTGTCACAATTTATTCACATTCCCTTTGCCATCTTGGCTCCACCCCCAGAAGTCATACTCTATTTTTTTTTAACACTACAGTAATTTCCCAGATATGTCTCACCTCATTACACACTGAGCCTTTCTTTGTAGCTAAAGAAAAATAGTTAGGTAAAAATCAACAGACAAAAAGATAGCAGCTCATAGTATAGACAACATTGCATACTCATAGTCTTCTACCTCTCTACTGAGAAAAAGGAAGTTTGTTTTACCATCTGTTCTCTCAGACCAAGATTGGTTATTGTAATTAATCTGTTTGTCTTTTAGCATTTTTTTAGTTTACATTATTGTACTCATCATGTCTGTTGTTCTCATGATTCTGCTTTCTTCGTTCTGTAGTAGTCTTCCTGTGTTTCTCTAAATTCCATAATGTTCTATAATATTCCATCATATTTATATAACCCAACTTGATCAAGCATTCCCTAGTCTATGAGTACTCATTTTATTTCCAGTTTTCTGATACTACAAAAAAGTGAGCATATCTTCTTGATATACAATGCTATTACATAATTTCTTTCATCTAAACTGTTCTATTTATATAATATATAAGCTTTAATAGTTATATTCTAGCCACAGTCCAGCAAGTCTCAGAGATGACTATGAAGTTGAATTTACCTCTTTGTATTATCTCTAACTACCTTATTTTTTTGGCATTCTGAACTTAACACACACAAACAAAAATGAACATATATGTGTGTATACATATGTGTATATCATACATACATAAAGAACAGAAAAAGAAGATTGTGTATGAAATTGTGAATCACTGTTATGTACAGCTTGGTTTTTTAAAAGCATGTAATGAATTCATCACCTTAGTTCCCAAACTGTCATATTTGTCTGTGATTCTCTCTGAACCTTCTTCAGTTCTCTTCTGTGCCTTTTTTCAGATGATTCAATGGTTGAGGGTTTTTTCCCTTTCTTTTCTTTTTCTTTTTCTTTGTTTCTTTCTTTTTATTTTAAAATTACCATCATTTAGTCATTTCTTCTACTGGATTCATCCGCTAAAAAAAAAAGAAAAGAAAAAAAAGAAACCTTCCTCTGTACAAAGGTACCATACCCAAGCAGAACAAACGCAAATACTGGTTATATATTTTTAAAAAAGGATGTCTTTTTCTGCATTTCTAGTTCATCATGGTTGATTAGAATATTGATTAGAATTCTTAAGTCTTCCAAAGTTGTTTTGCTTTATAATGTTGTGAATAATGACAACCATAATGGCTTTTTAGAACTGGGGATCAAGATGGATAGAGACAATTATAATGATGTTGGGCAGAAAGCAAAACCACTTTTGGAAGTTTTATTGCTCCCTATTGTTTTTATATCACATTCATTTTCAAAGTTGTCCCCTTTCCACCCAACAAGCCTTTCTTTGCAACAAAGATTAAAAAGAAAAAAAAACAGTTCAAAGGAAGATGTACTCAAGTTTTATCCACTTCTCGTTTATGAGTAGGCTCACCCCATTCACATTCACCGTTATTATTACAAACAGCATATTTCCCTCCATCCTATTTTCTTCTGTTTATCCTTCTTTCTCTTTTTACTTTGTCCCTCCTCAAAAGTCTGTTTTGCTTCTGACCATTGCCTCCCTTAATCTTCCCTTCCTTTTATCATCACCACGCTCTTCCCTGCATATCTCCTCCCTTGCCCTCCTATTTCTCTACTGGTAACATAGCTTTTCATACCCAGTTGACTATGTACAGGCATACCTCATTTGATTGTGCTTTGCTTTATTATGCTTAGCAGATATTGCTTTTTTTGTTTGTTTTTTTTTTGTTTTACAAATTGAAGGTCTATAGTAACCTTGTATCAAATGAGTTTATCGGCACTATTTTCCCAACAGCATGTGCTCACATCATGTCTCTGTATCACATTTTGCTAATTCTCACAATATTTCAAATTTTCTCATTATAATTAAATCTGCTATGGTGATCTGTTATCAGTGATCTTTGATCCTATTATTGTAATTGTTTTGGGGAGCCACAAACTGCACCTATATAAGGTGATGAATTTAATAATCAATAAATGTTGTGTGTGTTCTGACTACTCCACCAACTGGTGTTCTATCTCTCTCCCTCTCCTCAGGCCTCCCTATTCCCTGAGACACAACAATATTGAAATTAAGCCAATTAAATGCCCTACAATTAACAACTGTTGACCAACTGCCACTAACAGGCAGATGAAAGGTGCAGGAACCCTGGGAGTGGCAGGACCCCTCCCCGCCATCATTCCTGGTTCTAGTCCAGCCCTCACAGATATCGTTCAAACAAGTAACACCTGTGGAGAAGGGGCCAATCATCCTTACCAACTGTCCCTCCCAATACAGCAGGCAAGCCAGCCTAGCTGAAGCAACAAGGCATCTTGAAGGAGAGGCAAGAGGCAGTAGATGCCAGGCAAATCAAACCACCAACACCTCAACACCATCTCCTTTCATGTATTCCAGTGAGGATGGCCCAGAACCCTGGGAATAGTGACATTAAATAATGATGGTAAATTAGAGGTATTAACTGTTTTGTCACTATATCCTAAGGACCATGGAATTTTTCCATCTGACTTACAATGAAAATCTTCAATATATGTTGTCTTTCCCATTAGAATGTGAGCTCCTTCAGAATAGGGGCTGTCTTACTTTTCTATTTGTATCACCAGCATAGTGCTTTATACATAGTAAGTTCTTAAGGCTTCATTCATTCATTTATTAATGTGTGAGAGTGTGTGTGTATGTGTATGTGTGTGTGTGTGTGTGTGTGTGTGTGTGTTGTGTGTGTGTGTGAAGGACCCCTTTGGTAGTGTGGTGAAGCCCATGGACCCTTCTCAAAATCATGCTTTTAAATGAATCTAATAAAATACATAAGATTACAAAGGAAACCAATTATAATGAAATGTAGGTATCAATATGTATTTTTTAAGTTCATGGATCTTTTTAAGAATCCCTATTTTATTATATCTAACTTGGCGGATATTTGAAGCAGGTTTTTTTTTCTCTCTCCCCTTTTCCCCCCAATTCACAAGACAGATGTGTTTTTACTAGCCCATTTTGGAAGCACTCCATCCCTAGCCAGGAGCCATCATTGCTTTATCCTTAACTATGGTCTAGAGTCTCAAGTCAGATAATATATTCCTAACCAAGTTTACCAAATTGATCTTTTTCTGTTAAAGTTCCTACTTTCATTTGGCTGCAATGAGAAAACTGTCTGTGCCCTTAAGGTCTTAAGTTTCTTGCCCCAGTCTTCATAATTCCTAGCAATGCTTTCTAGTTTTCTTCTTGTGGTTTCAATAATCCACATATGAATCATCAGAAATTGGTTTTGATTGGCAGGTTGACAAGTCTCCAGGCACTGTCCAACACCTCCCGTATATCACCCCATATAACAAACAAACCAGCCTCTCTCTTGATCATGTTCTATCGATGTGTCACCACTCCAGCTCTACTCAGAAGGGATCCATCAATCACTAAAGTTCATCTCTTCTTTCTTGGACGGTTTCTCTCCTGACAGCATATATGAAGATACAGAGTCACTTTTGGGGACTGGCTCTTTCCTCTGAGGAAACAACTTCATCCCTGGTGGAAAGATACTCACATGTATCCAAAGGAGCCATCGATCCAATGGATCTTAGAGGTCACTAAGTCCAATCCTCTTATTTTAGAGATGAAGAAACTGAGGCACAGAGATTTGAGGTTACATACTTTAAAAAAGTATCTGACTCAGGATTTGAACCTGTTCTCCTGACTCTAAGTTCAAGAACCTATCCACTATACCAGGCTGCCCATTGATTTCCTCCTTCTTCTTCTGAGTCACATTATTCTATTTTCCAGCCCAATAGCTCTCAGAGTGTGGGCCAATGTATAAAACTTACACTTGCAATTATTGGTGGATGCCCGAGTTTTCCCATTCTCCCCAATCCTCACAGTCCAGAATAAAACTATAGCATGAGCCAAAAGAGTTTGAGAAGTACAGTTCTAACCTTCTGTTGAGCTACACTTCATGCACAATCAATCAACTAGCATTTATCAAGTGCCTATTATGTACTAGGTGCTGGGGCTGCAAAGTAAAGAATGAAATGATTTGTGCCCAAGGAATTTACATTCTTTCCAGAGAAACAACAATTACAAATACAGGTATATGCAGAATAAGCAAATGTGTACATATCTGTTTCTTAACACTAACAGAAATGCAATTGCGCAAGGTCTCCAGGACACAGGACAAATCTCCACATCGTCCATCCTCACTGGAACTGAGATGCTTTGCTGTCTCTCATTCTTTCACCAAGGCTCTTTATGACTAATTCTCCTTGGCAAACTGCTTTGGCACATTGCCCATTCTACCATGTGAGTTCACTGCTCTAAGAGCTCTGGCACTGGTTGCTCCTGAGCTTGGTTTTATCTATATTAAGCTTCCCCACCTTTTTCTGGGGCTTTCCTGTTATTTTCATTGATCATTCTCCTTGTGTATGTGCTCAGGAATGATAAAATTCCCACTGAAGCACCAGTGTGCAGAATGACCATCCTGAGCTGGTGTCTGTCTGTGAAAGGATCTTATTTAATATTACTGGCAGTAGTTGTTGTTTTCTGGGGCTTTCCCCTCTTTTTCGCTGATAAGATGCTACTTACTCACCCACTCAGCTGCAGTTGACCCACAATTAGCAGATTCCTGCCAAAGCCCTAACGCAAATAACAGCTCCTCTCAGCTGTGGTCTGTGAGAAAGCTGCAAATAACAGTTATGCTTATCTTTTTTAATAAGATCATATACTTAAAATATTTTAGAACTGAAAGGGACATTATGTCACCCTGTCTTGGTCCTGAATAAGCGTGCCCTAATGATAAGAGTTGTCTCAGCTTCTGCTAAACCTAAGGATGCAGTTATAACAGAATGCTCCCAAATAGTCCCAACCATGCTTGGCCTCCAAAATAGAGGGTCAACTTGATCACTTGTCAAGAGGAGCAGGCTACATGTGTGACCTTGGGCAGGTCACTACATTCCTCTAGCCCTCAGTTTCCTCATCTGTAAAAGGGATTCAGTTAGACAATCTCTAAGGTCCTTTCTATCTATAGCGCTATGATCTTTTGCCATTTAATCTTGCTGAGCCTCATTTCCCTCATTTTAACAGGAGGGTAATAAATTTTCCCTATCTCACAGGGTTGCTCAAGGTCAATGAGTTCATGTCTTACGAAGATCCATTAAAGGAACTGAAATATTGAACCTGGAAAAAAGAAGACACACAAATTGTTGAAAGGTTGTTGTGTGGAAGATTAATTACTCTTATTCTGTTTGGCACCAGAGGGCAGAACCGGAAGCAATGAGTTAAGTAGACAGATGATAGTTCCAATATACTCTGCCCTATCACAATTTACCTGGAGAATTGCATTCAATTATGGGTGTCATGCAGGGGTGTGGTGGTAAATGTTTAACAACCGGTTTTCCAAGGGAAAAAAAAAGAAAAATACATAGGATACATTTTTAAAGTTTAATCTGTATCATTTTTCTCCGTCCCTTTCTAAAGTCTAGAAAATCAACGAAACAATAAATCAACCTCTGATTTGTTTTGTTATTGTTGAGTTACCTCAGTCATGTCCAACTCTCCTTGATGCCATTTGGGTTTTTCTTGGCAAAAATACTGGAGTGGTTTGCCATTTCCTTCTCCAGCTAATTTTACAGATGATGAAACTGATGCAAACAGGGTTAAGAGACTTGCTCAGGGTCACACAGCTGGGAAATATCTGAAGCTGGATTTTAATTCAGGTCCTCTTGATTCCAGGGCCAGTGCCCATATCTGTAGTGTTTCTCAATTTGCAAAGCATAAATGCTCATACTTCAAATTTATCAGTCAGCTCTTATGAGTCAATTTGAGCTGGTTCAAGTACACCCCTAGCCATGCTTGAGAAGCTAGTGAGCGTCCAAAAAACGGCAGCTAAGAAGATAGAGGGCCTTGATTTAAAGATCACTTAAAAAAAGTAGGAATGTTTAGCCCAGAAAAGAGAAGACTGGGAAAGGGTGGTGTGAAATATGATAGCTGTCTTCAAGTATCTGAAGGAATGTCATGCTAAGGACAGATCAGATTTCTGTTTGACCCCAGAAGGCAAAACCTGTAGCCATGGATAGAAGTTGTAAAGAGGCCAATTTTGGCTTGAGATCAGACCTCAAAAATTTGAGTTGTCCAAGAATGGAATGGGAGGGGATGGGCTTTTTCCCTTTGGAGGTCTTCAAGCATAGTCTGGAAGACTGCTTGTTGGTCAGGTATGAAGATTCCTTTCATGTATGGGTCTGACCAGATGACCTCTAAGGTCCTTTCCAGTACTCAGATTCTACAATGTGAAGTCACAAAAAGAGCAGATTTTGGTGTGATGTTCAGAAAACCCTCCTACAATCAGAGGTAGCCCCAAAATGGGCTGACTGCTTATGGAGATAGTGGCTCCTCCCTCAACAGCTGGTAGATTACTTATCCTGTATGCTGTAGTTGATATAAATTGGACTAAAAGTCCATGGGAAGTCCCTTCCAACTTCAAGATTCTGTGATTATATTGCAGGGGAAATTACTTTATAGACCTTAAAAAACTAAAACAATATGAGCTGGAATTCACTGAAAGACCATTGGAGTCACATAATAGCACTTTCCTCATAGGCCTGTTGTGAGGATCAAGAAAAAAATTAAATAATCTTTGCTTTCAAGAAGCTTACATTCTATAAGCTGTACCTCTCCCCTAAATCTACAGAATTATGGGGTTTTAGGGATGAAAGGGGCCATGAGGTCATCTAATCCAACCTCTACTTGAAACATGAATGCTGTATCTACTTGCTAGCTTCTTGATGAATCAAGAAACAATGAAAACATGACTTCCTCTGTAAGAATTCCTTTATGTTTCTTACATGATTTAACCTACTGCCACTTTGTACTTTTTTCTCACTTTACCTGAAATGAATGTGAACATTTTCTACATAATCTGAGAGTGGTGGCACCCCTGGTCATTCTGCTTCAGGAGAGGCTGAGGCTAAAGGTTGCTTGAGCTGGGGAGTTCTGAGCTACAGTAGAGCTAGGTGATGAAGAGGATAGGGACCCAGCCCAGAAGCCAGGAGGACCTGAGTTTAAATCCAGCCTCAGACACTTATTAGCTATGTGAGTCTAGGCAAGTCACTTAACCCTGATTGCCTCAAAAAAAAGAAAAAAAAAGGAAAAAAAAATAAAGTGATTGGGTGGTCACAGTAAGGCCAGTACCATATGAACCAATTGGTCCAGGTCAGAAATGGAGCAAGTCAAAGCTTTTGAGCCCTTCAGCAATGGGGTAGGATGGACGAGTGGCTGCACTTCCAGTCTAGGCAAAATAGGGAGACTTAGTTTTTTTAAAAAAATCCTACATGAATATGTCTTCCATTTGATTCTGTTAAAAGGTTATCTTTTTGTATGCCTGTCACCTCTTCTATTAGACTAAGGGCAGGAACCATATCCTATTTATCTTTTTGTTCTCCACAATGACCCTGAAAAGTGCTTTCCACGTAGCAGAACCTCAATAAAAACATCTCAAGTGAATAGTGAATGAATACATAGGAGGAAAAAGACTAAATTGAAGGCAGAGTGTGGCTGATATATTATTAAGTATATACAGCAGTTCTAAGATCACATCAAGATTGAGTTGCCTTAATGGTTTATCATACGTAGAGGCAGGCTTCCTCAAAGCATTAAATTGAAGATTTATGGATGTTATTATTATCTGGCATGAAAAATAAATAAAATCCTGGATGGAAGATAAGGGTAAACTCTCAAGGGTTGTTGCAACTATGGAAAGATTTGCTATCAGCTTGGAAGCTATTAATTTTCCCAGGGAGACATAAATAAGGCTAAGACCTTGTGCTGGGTTGTATTTAGTAAATCTAAAACTAAATCTTCAGAACCGGCATCAGAGCGCAAGACTGTATAACTTCAGGCAAGGGTCCCAACAGCTCCAGCAACACTGGCCTCAGGGGTGCTTCTTTGCTGACTTTTTCATGAAATATTAGTTTAAGGTTAAAAGCCATCTCTTGTCTTCACTTCAAGACAATGCAGTGATAACCAGTGTGGGAGAAGAGATTACTGGCTTTCAATAGAGTCAGGTGACACCAAGCATTTTAAAACAGACTAACATTTGGACAATAGATTTTTCTCTTTCTCTTCCCTCAATCTGGAAACCATATAACAGATGGTGGTCAGAGTAGGGGCCAGAGAAGTAATTAAAAATAAGAAAGCAGAAATAAGGAATTGCTTGGCCATCAAAAGCTATGGTTTTTGAGAAGCATTCCATGAAGAAGGGACCTGATGTAAGTGAATAGAATTAAAAAAGAGAAATACTAGGAAAAAAAGTAAAAAGAGAAAATATAGGTAAAAATATTTAAATGAATAGAATTTTAAGAAACCTTACAGTTAAGGATAACCTGGATTAGTCCAAATTAGCTTAGCTAGTCCCTCAATTCATGGATAAGGAAACTAAGTGTAGATGTTATTTGAATGGACTGGGTTTTTTTGTGAGAAACAACCAGCTGAATTTTTAAATAGTTTCTTATAGGTTCTCTCTTTGTATGCCTTAATGTGGTAGATCAAGCCCTCTACTTGGAACAAGGAAGATCTGGGTTTGAATCCTACCTTAGGATACCTACTACAGGTATGAGTCTGAGAAAAACCACTTAACCACTCTAGTCTCTTCATCTGTAAAATGAGAATAATAATAGCTTCTGCATCACAGGGTTGCTGTGACATGAAATTCAAAATTAAATAATGTGTGTGAGTAAAGTCTTTGAAAACCTTAACATGTCATATAAATTCCTGCTTCTATAATTCAATCGCTTTTTAACATGCACTGTATATTTTAGATTTTTTTTTAATGTTCAGACTAAAGAAATAAAGCCTAAAATTATTTTTAAAATCTAATAAGGATAATCTTTTAAAAATATATTTTTGATGGGTTTTGTGTTTATATCACAATCACTTGTAACCAGGAGGGAAAAAAAAACCTCCCTCCTCCAGACTGAACTCATCTTTAACACAGACATTCTAATAAAGTAAGTTAAAACAAAGCATTTAAAAGGGAACAGCCACCAAGGTGATCCTGAAGATTTTGTGGCCCTGTTGCATAAGAAACTATTCTTCCCACCTGAGAGATCATAGACATCATAAATTAAATGGTGAAAAGTAGAAGAGTTTAAAGATTCATAAAGTTTTCATCTTCTAAGCAGCTGCTATTGATTTGGGGATTGAATTATTAAAATTCTAATATGTGTTGGCCTCAATGTGTTGTTTGTTCTTTATAAAACATTAGAAAAGAGAAGGCCAGAATCTTTAACCAACCAGAAACCCCAAATCTGACATTTTAAACAGATCTTGGGCCCCAAGAGCCAAACTTAATGTCCATTGATGTTATAGCTGACAGGGAGTTGAGTCCTCTGTTTTAGGTGCTAATTCCCATACAAATGGCTGCTTCAGGTGCGATTAAGTAAACCTATGGTGACAAACGTTCAAATGGTCAGTCAGTCAACCATTTTGAAAAGTTTGATCCCCAACCCTGAGAGGTAGGTTACAGTCTCCCATCCCCAACTGGAGACCTTCCTTTGGATATTTTATCATTCATTGATACCACTGTGGCACTTGGACTATCCATTTGCTTATTTCTTGCTCTGACTACATATTATAATTGCCCACTGCTTTTTCTAATCATATATTTCATTGATGATATCTCTTCCATTCCCCTCTTTGCATCAAGTCATGATTGGTAATATGCTGCAGCCTACCCGATGTCCACCACACGTGTCTTCATTTTGACCCTTTGACTTTCAGTTTTGATTTTTTCATAATTTTTCAATTCACAATTTAACATGATTTACCACCATGTAGTATCACCAAAAGAATTTTGATTTTACAATATAGGTTGTTTAGGATCAGGGAAAACAATAAATGATTTTCCAAGTACAATCTAACTATCTGTCTTCTTCCTATTCAGTTCTTGGCCTATCTCACTGTCCATCTGAAATGCCTATCCTAGGCATATGCACTGATAGACTAGTTCAATAGGATGCTGTTATTGTCATTACAGGAAGTAATCTTCATCCACTTGGTTTTACCTATGTGGAATGTTATTAACCTGTCCTGAGGGGTTGTGGGAGCTTATTGAGGAATGTTTGATACAATCAGTACAATGTCATTTGAAAACAGAAGCATCTGAAGGACATCACTCTCTACAGGGGATTTATCTACAGGGGAACCATTTGGAGCCTGGAAAGAAATACGCCATGACATGAGTTCTGAATTAGACTTAACTCAGTCTAGTTCAGTGATTCAGGCTCAAAATTCAATAAAAATCAATTTACAATGACAGATTTCAAAGGGTAATTTTTTTTTAAAAAAAATAGACACCTCCCCTTCTATCTTTATTAAGGCAGCAACACTGGGGTAAGAAAGGTATCCCTCAGAAAACCGGAAATTCCACCAAACTTGAGGAATACCAACTTTCAATAAGAAAGTCTTTTTATGCTTTCTGTGACAAGGAGGTCATCTCTATGATTTAAGCTCTAATTCTCTGAATCAAACAAACCCTCTTCAGGAGAAACAACTCTAGTCTGCATGAAAGAAATGCTGCATGTGTCATAATAGAAAGCATGTTTTTGTTAGCACACCTCTCCTTATTTTGTGCTCTGATTGATATTAAAAATCAGAAAGCTACTGAATAAAGATATCTCTGTGATTGCATTTAACAAGGGTTTTTTGTACAATTATCACATGCATGGGAAAAGCCTAGTTGGAGAAAGGTACATTTTTTCCTATTACATCAAGTGCTCTTTTTATAATCAATGAATAATATGCACCATGGAATCTTGTGTCCTCTATAGTTCTCAGTGTACTATATGACCGTATAGATGTAGTCTGCTATAAAAAGTCATTTGCAAAGCTACAAAGAACTGACAGAAAGTGATAAGATCATCCTGTTGCAATAAATAAATGGTCAAAGGATATAAATAGTTTTTAAAAGAATTACAAAGCACAAATGTTCATGACACAAATCACACATATAAAGTTTTAGCTCACATCATACAAAATAACGAAGAAGAAAAAAAGATTGGGAATGATCAATGTTGGAAGGAATGGGAAGACAGACTCACTGCTGGTGGAGCTGGGAAGGTTCATTCTTCTAGATTTCAAATTGAAGTTGTATGAGAAGTGTGATTAACCTGTCCATTCCTTCTGACCTGGCAAGTCTACTAATGGGTTGATATCCGCAATGAAGTCAAAGACAGAAACAAAAATCCAAAGTACCAAAACACTCATGGCAGCACTCTATGTAGCAAAGAATCAGATGCAAAGGAGGTGCCTATCTATTGGGGAAGGGCTAAATAAAACTGGCAAATGAATGTAATGGGATGTTATTGTTCAGTAATAAATAATAAAGTCAAGGAATTTAGAGAAACATAGGAAAATTTGTGTGAACTCCTGCAAAGCAAGATAATTAGAACCAAGTGAACAAGATAACAAATGACTATAAAGATTTAAGATCAATGAAAGACATCTGAACTCTGAGAAATGGAAGACTTGGTTAAGGTTCCCAGAAAGAGACAATAAAGCATACCTCTCTCACGCAGCATAGAGGTGAAGAGCCGGGAGGACAGAATGTGTTCTGGTTCTACGTCATCAAACACTTTGAATTGGTTGTTCCACAGGCATCTGAAACTCAGCACATCCAAAACAAAATGCACTAGCTTTCTTCGGAAATCTTGCTCTCTCCCTCCCCTATTACTCCCAAGGGCACCACCGTCCTTCCAGTCACTCAGGTTCACAACCTGGGGATCATCCTTGATTGCTCCCAGCTCGCTCACACCACATATCCCCTCCCCTCTCTTCTCTTCCTGAGGGTCTTCCCCTCCCAGTTTGATTTTTTTTTTTTATCAGAGTGGTGATCCCTTGACTCACTTGTCTATTCACTGAATGGGCGTTGCCCCACTCAAAGTGAGAACCTGAAAAGACCTTAGCTTAAAGGACCAAGATCTCCCACTGTGACCTGGGCCATCTCTAGGTATCCTGATCAATATCTGGCCACTGGACCTGGATGTCTCTGGAGGAGAAAGTGAAGCTGGTGACTTTGAACAGCCTTCTCTCCCCCAAATCAAAGTCAATTGCCAGTCATGTCATCATCTCTCTGATGTCACGGACCTCTTCAAGAATGAAGGACAAACCACCACGACATCTTGTTTACATCTCCACAACATCTCTTGCATCCATCCCATCCTCTCCAGTCATACAGCCTCTCCCCTAGCAGTGATTCTCATCACCTCTTACCTGAACTATTACAACAGCTTCCTATTTGATAGCCTCTCTCCCTCCTCCAAAATCCTTCCTCCATAAATCTGCCAAAATTACTTTCCTAAAGCAAAAGTCTGACCATTTCCATTCACCTTTTTGACCCCCATCATTCCCACCACCATCCCTAGAGATTAATGTCAAGTCATGCAAATTACACCAAGGACCAGAGAGCATTAGATCAGAAAGCTTTAGAAAAACCAGAGGGGAATGAGCTAGGCTGGCAACTACTGCTATCAACTACATCACAATATCAAAGGTCTATGTCCCCATTACACTATCCCCCAGTGAAATAATGTCTAATTCCAGAAAATTATAGCTGGCACCTATATATAATTTGTTGAGCAGGTTGCACATTATGCAATATCCATGATCACATCTAATAGAGACAAGACACATGTAGTCACATGTTATATAGCACTAATGATTATATGTGATACATACAGTAGATCTCACTATAGAGTCAGATAGCAGACTTTACTTACAGTCTGTTGTTTGTGTGTCATCATGCCCCACATGTCTGATGTGCTGCTCTGAGTCAGCAAACACCTTCAAGCTACCTCAGTGACATCATCAATCCATATGCACTCCCAAAACAACAAGTCCTTTGGAAAGATTCAGACTTCTTATAACTAAGTGGCCACTGTGGTTACTTGCCCTCAAACAAACAGTGAAATGCAATTGTACATTGTCACTAGGTTACCTTGTTTACCTCTGTGCTTGTCAGGGTGCTATCCTGATCCAGCCATGGCTACTACAAAAAGCCTAGATTCATACACACACACACTCCAATTCAATGACCTTGCTCTAATCACCACAGAAAAGTGGCTTCGAACTCACCTATGTGTGAGTTTTATCTTAGAAGCAACTCAAAAATGATTTCTCTCTGCCATTTCCAGCTGGCCCCGTCAGGGAGATTTCTGGGAACCCTGGCATCTGGGCTTATTTCAGTCCTCCCCAGGTGTAATCACTTTTCTTTTCACGAAGACATTTCTTTCTATCCAGGTATTGTGACTTACATCAAATTTAATTCAAGTCATACACAAAGACCTGAAAAGGGGCAGGTGAGTCCATTTAACATGAGACCACCTAATATGTTATTTTCAAATGTGATTCTCTGCTCCATGGCCTTAGTCCAGAAGAATTCTCTATCAATCCCACACCAACAGCCTGAGGGAATGAATTGTTGTAGTAGTTCCTGGAACAAGTGCAGAGGCAGCTTTTTTTCCTGTCTTCTCTGAGGGACTAGTGATGCCAGAGCTCCAATCAATCAATCAATGTTTATTAAGTGTCTACCATGTGCCAGGCGTTGTGCTAAGTGCTGAGGACACAAAAATAGGCAAAAGACAGTCCCTACCCTCAAGGAGTTTATAATCTAATGGAGAAGACACTAGCTTCCTCTGAAGTAAGTCCATGTTTTTATACCTCCCTAATCAATTCACTGTCCTACTCAACACAGTGGCTATTCCAGACCTTTTCTTACCACCTCATTAGTTCCTTCTCTCACCATCTCAGCTTGCCTTCATAGAAAAAAAATGAGGCCATTCACAAAGACCATACATCCACTACTCCTCATTTCATATCACTCAGATGTCCTTCCATAACTTTCTTCACCCTTGTCTCAAATAAAGAGGTAGTTCTTCTCCTTGACAAGGAAAATCCCTCTACGTGCACAAATTATCCCACTCTATTTCATTCTGTAGCAGGTTGACCCTTCTATCATCTTTACTCTCTCACAAATCTTAAATCTCTGTGTGTGTTTCTCTCTCTCTTTCTGTCTCTCTCTCTTTCTCTTGCCTGCTTCCCTCTACAAACACTCCTATGTCTTCCTCTCCCTTTTAAAAAAAACCCTCATTTGATCTGACCATCGCTATTAGTTATCATATTATATCTCCTCTCCCCTTCATGGCTAAGGTCTCTGAGAAATTGGTACAATCAGTGCCTCCACTTCCTCTTCTCACTTTCTTCTAAATTCTGAGGTGTCTGGTTTCTAATCTCATTATTCAACTGAAACTGCTCTCCTCAAAGTTATTAGCAATCTCTTAATTGCCAAATCTAATGACCTTTTCTCCATCCTATCCTTCATGTAACCTTTGATACTATCACCTTCTTTAGCTGGTTATTCTCTCTTTGCTAGGTTTTCATGTCACTGCTCTCTCCTGGTTATCCTCTTGCTTGTCTGACTATTCTTTCTCTGTCTCCTTTGTTGTATCTTCCTCCAGGTTATGGCCACTAACTATGGATGTCCTCTAAGGATTTCTCTTTCATCCTCTTCCCTCACCCCTTTATATGATCTCACTTGGTGATCTCATTGGCTCTCATCGATTCAATTATCATTTCTATATACAATAATTCTTTCTCAGATCTACTTATCCAGCCCTTACCTCTCTCTCCTGACCTTCAGTTTCAGATCACCAACCATCTATTAGACCTCCCAAACTGAATATGCCATCTCAAACACAACATGTCCAAAACAAAACTCATTATTTTTCCCCAAACACTCCCCTCTTCCCAATTTCCTTATTACCATCAAGGACTCCACCAGCCTCCTAGTCAAGTAGTCTCATGACCTCAATTCTTCACTCATCACTCACTGCACATATCCAATCCATTACCAAATCTTGTCATTTTTACCTTTACAACATCTCTCATGTACACACTCCCTTCTCTCCACTCACACAGCTGATACCTTGGGGTGAGCACTCATCACTTCACTCGTGGAGTACTGCAATAGCCTTCTTATTGATCTCCCTCCTCCAATCCATCTTCCTCAGCTAACAAAACTCAGCTACCAGGGACAGCTAGGTGGTGCAGTGGATAGAGTTCCGGCCTTGGAGGCAGGAGGACCTGAGTTCAAATTCGGCCTCAGACACTTGACATTTACTAGCTGCGTGACCCTGGGCAAGTCACTTAACCCTGATTACCTCATCAAAAAGCAAAACAAAGCAACAACAACAAAAAAAAAAAAACCTCAGCTACCAAAATGATTTTCTTACGTAGAATGTCTGACCATATCACCTTCCTATTCAATAAATTGCAGTGACTCCCCAGTCTCTCCAGGATCAAATATGAAATCTCCTGTTTGGCTTCACAACCTGGCCCCTTACCACCTTTGTATCTCCTATCCCTTTATTCCTCTCCACCTATTCTAGAATCCAGCAACATTGTCCTTCTTGTTATTCCTCAAACAAGGCTCCATCTCCTGACTCCATGTCTTTTCACTAGCTATGCCCCATGCCAAGAATCCTCTTCCTGCACATCTCTACCTTCTGGATTCTCTGGCTTCCTTCAAAACACAGCTTCATCACCACTTCTCTCAACATACATTCTACTTTTACTGATTGTATCACTGGATTTGGGGAGGGAAGGAGAGTGAGGAGATGGTTTCATCAATATAAGAGAGTCCCAGTAGAGAAACTCCCTCTACTGATGCAAACTTGGTACATAATCTGTTACTTCAATTCTTAGTAAGTGCCCTGGGTCATTGAGAAGTCACATGGCTTACACTTTCTCACACAGTTCCTACGTGCCGGAGATAGGTCTTGAATCTTCCTACCTCCAAGGCTAGTTCTCTATATGCTACTCAATCTTCCCTCTGGATATGAGGTCCTTATATCCTTACTCATGTGGTCAGATTAATGCCACAGGTGTCTTCTTAAGTCAGATAACAAATAGGTGTGCAAATGTGCATGTTATTATTACAGGATTCAAACTGCAATGGTCCAATTCATTTTATGATTGGAGCAGAAGAAGACATCACTTTTTCTTATGTATGACTGCCTCAGTAGTGCCCGCTTCCCAAAATGATGTGCAAATTGGAATCTCTATTGAGATATGAAGATGTGAGTCATGCATTCTGAGAGGATATGCTAAAGAGGAACCTTGTCCCACACTTGGCACCCAGCCGCTCCCTCACGCTACGGACATAGCTCAGTCCTGCTGGGCAGCCACTGGCCAGTAACAGCTGCTGGTTGGTTGGTGAATAAATTTTTGTTTGGCATGTGTCTGCAAGTTGCTGCCTTTCTGAGGTACGTCATTTAGTGAGACAGACACAGTAAGCTTATACCAGATTGACCATGTGGAAGACAGTAGCCGACTAGACAGCTCCTTACTATAGAAATCTAATCTTTTACTATTTCTAGCATTTGAGCATGACATAGTTTCCATTCACATATTTCACCAAAAAGGGCCTGGGGGCTGTTGGATACTTACAAAATGATGACATACAAAATAATCCCTTATGTCTTTATAGAACAGTGTAGTTTACAGGTCATTATCATATCTAATGTTTCATTTGGTCTTCATAAAAATTTAAAAAAAACAAACCTCCATGAGGTAGGTAAGGGCAGATAGAACCATGAAATGTTAGAGCTGGAAAACAACTCTGTGATCATTTAGCCCAACTCTCTCCTTTTTCAGATGAATTTAAATGACTTGACCAAGGTCACACAGCTAGTAGGTGATAGAATCAGGACTCAGAACTCTAAGTCCAGTGAATTTTCTCTTACACCTTGTCACTGAAGAATGATCTAGCCTTTGAGAACAAGCATAGCAAGAAAGTACCTGGTCTTAGAAGAACCAGAAAGAAGATAACAATTTCTATGTCGATAATTACTGAATATTTTCATTAGCTGTGGTTCATTTTCTCTTGATTTTTTTTTCATTTCATTTTCTCTGCCTCCCCCCAGTCCACTTCAGGAGACTCAAAATGGGTCTCATGGGGAAGAGCAGTTGCCAGAACACCAAGGAGTGGGGATTCCTGTTCAAACCCTCCCCTGTCTGCCATTTTCCTAGAGAAGGCAATATTTGAGAAGAGTTGTGAATGTCTAGATTGACTTGGCCTTTGAATGTGCACTTGTAAAGTTTCCTCAGACCCCCACAGAATAATAATGATAGCTATCATTTATATAGCACTTTAAGCAGTACAGAGGTCTTAACATTTTCTCCAGCAGTCCCTGAAGCCTGGAACATTTTCCTTCCTCAATACCACCCACTGGCTTCCTTTAAGTCCCAGCTAAAATCCTATCTTTTACAAGAAACCTCTTCCAATCCTTGTTAAACCTATTGTCTTCTCTCTGTTAATTATTTCCTATTTATCCTTGTTGGTATAGATTTGTTTGGATGTTGTCTTCCCTATTAGATTATGAGCCTCTTGAGGGCAGGGACTGACCGTCTTTTGCTTCTTTTAGTATGTTCAGTGATTAGCCCAGTGCCGGGCACATAGTAGACATTTAATATATGTTTAATAATTGATTGATTAATTATCCCATTTTATCCTCACAACAACCCTGGAAGGTAGATGCTGCTATTATAACCCCCCATTTTACACACGAGAAAATTAAGACAAAGTAGTTAAATAACTCACCCAGGGTCACAGAGATAGTAGCATATGTGAGGTCATATTTGAACCCGGATCTTCCTGACTGTAGACCCAGCACTCTATTCACTGTGTTACCTAGCGACAGTAGTGTACTGGGTGTCCAACCCATTTATGTTCCCTTATGGAGCTGGTACAAGTTGAACATGTTGACAGGTAGTTACAAGCAAGTGTGATTTCAAGCTTTACCTGTTTTCATAACTACTGGCAGGGCTTTTGTAGGGCCATT